GATCTTTTTTATTATTAACTTGGTACCAACCGTGGTTGAAAATTCAAAATACCAAGTTATTGGTCATTAAAAAAATGCTCTGTTGTTATCAAAGTTAATAAATTTAATTATACTAAAAGACAATAATGATRTTGAACGAAAAAATGTTATGTAGACTTATGAATATACAATACCTTTTTAATAAATAGTAATTAGAGGAGGGCGGCAAAGTCCATCGTGACCTTGTGTTCTGAAAATTATCTGGACCCTCCCCATGACAAATTCCTAAATATTATACCATAGGTAATGTTGATAGAGTTATCCGGATAAAACGAACCAGTAGGATCACACAAGATCTAGTTTTTGGAGAAATGATGAAATATACAATACAGTAATTCATTCAGTATGTGCATTTTACAGATTTTATATACATATAAAATTATTTAGGTACATAGACAAAAAATCGAACCACCAATTAATCAGAAATACTTATTTTGATTATAGTAATCGAGCGGCAACTTTCGAAAAGGGCGCACGAACGCATCCGTAGCGAATTCGGTTACCACGGTCACTGTATCGACCGAGTGGTAAGCGATTGTTGTCATATTTATTATTYTTCCGTCCAGGGAAAACGGTCGGCCATCGACCACGACTACAGTTTTTTCCGTGTTCACTGCGTCGTGTGAATCTCGTTCAAAATGTTACAAGTAATCGCCAGATTGAAGATTCTCGATTAAACCGTTTTCGCGAGTGCATAGTGCATTCTATCAGCATCATTGCATCAATAACGAGCATTTGGTAATGCGACGACGTTTCGGCGAAACTAAACTTAAAGAGTSGATTGCTGAGCTAATAATTAATGTAAAATGGATGTATTTGAGAGCCAGTCATCGTCATAAGTAAGCCACAACTGTTCCGGACCAAAAAAACGCGTCGTCCGTTACATCCGAGAATTTATAACGTTCCTGATGAAGTGATGACGCTTTGAGGTAAGCTAATGGCACTAGAAGTCTCCTGTTATTATAGTATTCAATTATATTATTGTTCGTGGGAATAGGCGGCAGTTTCGTATACAAAATTTCGACCGTTAGAATTTATAACAATATATTTATTAGTTTATTACACGTCGTCATAATAATTACTTAGTATTGTGCAGTATAATTTTGCGAAATTATATTCAATTATTTGACATGTGAAAATGTGAAATTTCACCGCAATCTGAGTGACAGAGTTGCCGTGGTTAAAGATAAATTAATATCGATATTATAGTTGTACTTGTACCTTTATTTTTAATTTTAATAATAATACCACAAGGTTTGCGCAAACCGGTTTGTTCGTACGAGAGCACACGGACCGCTAGATGGCGGCTAAGTCGTCGTKCAATAACAGCTGGCGCGTTACGGCAGGACCGTTCACGTTTCGCCTGTTCGGCGTTCGCCAGTTACAGACATTTCAGTCAGTACGCGTTTGCGCTTATTACTGGTMGTCGTTAGTTGAGGGTCGTCGTCTCAACGTGTATTTGTTATTGTTACAGAGATTTCGCGTGTTTAAAAGACAACAATAATAATATTATTTACGCGTAGTATTAATTTCTTGTGGTTGACAGTGTTGTTTATCATCGTCCCTCTCTAACAAATCGATTTTCGTCGAACGCCCGAGGATTCACCATCTGGCAAGGGTTATACACGAGTGAGTACCTACT